GCAGTCATAATGCAGTCGAAGATTAAAAGTGCATTACTTAATATAGATGTGAGGAAAACCATCCCATTTGTCGGACATACTATGTCTTTGGATCTGTAATCAGGTCAACCCGGATTTATAACTTCTGGTAACCAGGCGTTATTTTCAAACGGAGTCGCTCGTCGTGTCGCGTAGACGATCTTGGTTGGCCAGTTTCGCTCTGACGCGGCTCTCTGGCTGGCTAGCTGTCAGAGGAAAGGACTGGCATCTCTTCTGGGTGGAATTTCTTCACAGTGAAAACGTATGTCAAGGATAAAACCAACGGTAATAATAATCCTCAGCACTGAAGAGTTATATATATCATATCTACTTTTGTAATGCTGGCTAACTGTGGCCACCGTATTCTCCCGGTTTACGTTTAACGCTGGGTAAGTAGGCAGCCGACGTGCCTTCTACTGTTTTGATTCCTCCACAGCTAGCTAGCAGCATTTCCGTGTTATGTGGCGACCGTAAACATATACACAACCAGCCTGTTTGTGTCAAGTTCCTGTTTGGCAAAATGATCCGCTAAGTAGGATGGTGGTAATAAATAGGCCTGAACAGTGGCAATTAAAAAAGTATGAAAACTGTCGTCTCAAGAACATTTTACCAACGAAACGCAGATAAACTGGAGACACCAGAACAGCAGCAAATTATGGGAGAACTTTGTGAACATCCTCGGTTTATTTAAAGAAGCAGCTCGGTGGAGCTCGGATTGAACGGATCCTCAATCATCCAGGGAAGTAAATCTCCAAAAAGTTGATTCTGTTCATCTGGACGTAGCGTTTGTGGGAGAAACGTTTCGTCACTTGGATGATAGCTCGGATTTAGTTTCTGACAGCACACTAGCAGCTAACTTCTGTTTTCTGAACGACAGGAACACGGCTGAATTGTATTTCCGGTGCTCTTTGGCTGCTTCTCAGCTGTTCCTGTTCATTTCTTTAATTTTCTAGCTGGTAAGAGTCCTTTAAAAGAAAGTTCAGGCGAGCAGTGATGCTGGTGCTGATATATCTGTGATGCTGATCCAGTCTTGGGATTTCTTCCCGTCGTTGCTTGATGATGTATTAAAAATAAACTTGTATGTTACAGAAGCTTCAGCACAATCCTTCCTGCAGTAATGACACGCACGCTTTAACCTGACAGTCACCTCTTGTTTCTCTGCATTTCCACTTTTGTTCCTCGTTTGTTCCTCTTTATCTCTTATTGTTGTTTTGTCTCATACGTATCAGCAGCTGCAGATATTCCTCTTCTCATTTCTTGCTGTTTTCTTTAGGCTGATGAATCCCTGAAGCTCGTTTCGCCCGCTCGCTGCCTGGACACCAGCCTCAGACCGGATGACAGGAGATGAGACACTGGAGGCCTGGACCACATCATGAGCATTCAAAGCCTACAAGGAGCTATCGGGGAGTCTCTTGGCTCTAGTCTCACAGTGCGCATGAGTGGAGCAGGTGGCGGGTGGAACAGCCTCTCCCTGAAACCCGTTTCCCCGGGCTGGATCGCCTCCGTTTTCCACACCATGGTCCCGACCGGTTACACCAAGCTTCAGGAGGAGCGGTTGGCCATGGTGGACCTTGGAGCTAAATCTGAGGCCAGCTCACTCCAGAACGGGTACAGACAGGAGACGTCTCATATCGAAGGTAGACGGGTTCTGGAGCGCGCCTCTCGGGCCTCTTTGACTTTAGCAGACTGTGGCGATGGCGACTGCTCGGAGACGGAGCCTATGCTCACTGAGAGGAGGCTCTCAGGTGAAGAGGCGGATGGGGAGGAGGAGGAGGAGGAGGAAGGGCTGGGATCGAACACGCAGAATATGCCAAAGGAGTCAGTGCTGGCTATGGCGTTTCAGATTTTGGTGCCTTTCCTTCTTGCCGGGTTTGGAACCGTATCAGCTGGGATGGTGCTGGACGTTGTGCAGGTAAACTGAGCAGCGTTGTTAAAGCAGTGAAAGCAGGCTGGGATTAAAGGCTCATTCAAGTTCATTACAAACACGCGTGTTGTTCAGTTCTGCTCTGTGATTGTGGAGCATAGCAGCACAACTGCAGCAGAGTTAGCAAAGCTGGGAAGTTGTGCTGCAAACCTACATCTGAAAGTAGCTGTTAACAGGAATAAAATAGTCCCCCACCCACCAGCTGCAGTGAGAGGACGGTGTCACTGCTGTGACCTGTAATGCTGACTAAGAATGATCACATGATCCAAACCTTCCTTGGGTTATATGCTGGCAGCCAAGCTTGATATGACTGTAATCTCACAGTAATCTCACAGAGCGCTCTGTAGCAGCGTTGTTAACGGCGCTCTGTCATATCACATGTTTGAGGCGCACATCTGTGAGCAGGTTGTTTTACACAGAAGTGGAGACGGGAGCCTCTGTTTCTCCTTCTAGTGTCATTTCTGCCCTGAAACGACTCAATTTCTAAACCGTAGTTTTAATTTCAGTGTTTCTTTGTGGACGTATTGAAGTTTAACTTCCTGGTAGGAATGCAGCGTTCCCTCGAGCACGGTCCCGCCTGCAACCCTTTCTGTTTCTGCACATTTACATTTTTTGGGTGATTACAAACCATCTGTCAGACGGTGGAACCGTGAGCCAACGAGCTGAACGAGGGCCGCTCGCGTCCCAAATGTGTCCTTCATGCAAACGGGAAAGCTTTGCTGTGGGCGGTCAGTGAGGTGTGACGAGAACTCAGCTGACGTTACGGCAGTCACGTTATCCCAACATCTGACAGAGTTACAAACCTTTGAAAGAAAAGTCTGTGAACGCTGCTGGATTTACTTCACTGCTTCACAGTTAAATCATGCAGATCCCCAGTTTGTCTTATCCTGTAAACACAACATGTAAGTGTGACGTTTAGTGATAGCCGACAAAGCAAAGTGACTCTCTGCTGTCTGCAGCACTGGGAGGCGTTCCAGTACATCACAGAGATCTTCATCCTGGTGCCCGCTCTGCTCGGCCTCAAGGGAAACCTGGAGATGACTTTGGCCTCGAGGCTGTCCACAGCGGTGAGACACACACACACACACACACACACACACACACACACACACACACACACATTATTCTGTCTTCACATTCGATGTTGTTGTAATCAGACGTCAGGCTGCTTTGTCCTGCGTGTTGTTTCGCTCTCAGAAGGACGGCGTGGTTTCCCGTCAGCCTCGTGCTCGTAGCTGCTGTCAGAGGATCACTGATCAGTGATGTCAGTGTGTGTTTGTGTACATAGTTGCATCATGTTTGTGGTCCTGACTCGTCTCCACAGAGCCTCTAACTGTGATTAGGTTTCATCATCCAGCCCAGTCTGGATTAGAGCTCCAGTGTCGTCTACGCTGTGCGGTGAACACAACAGGCTCATGTGCACAACTGTTACTTTTGGCGTTTTCACGGAAGAATTACTTAAAGTGTTTTAGAAATAGTTGGAGTCAGGAGGAATTTGCTGACGCGGGGTTTGGGAGAGGCTGTTGCAGCCAGGATCAAATGGTCAGACTCTGCTAGAGTGAGCATGTGTTTGCACCCTGTCCCATTAAACTGTCTCTCCTTCTGTCCATAAACCGACTCGCTGCAGTCCTGTTTGTCCAAAGAGGCGACTGAGCAGAATTCTGTCTCTGTTGGCTTCCTGTTGGCCCCCTGCTCCCCACATTCAAGCTGCACATCCACAGCGCTGTGTCAACATAGAGAGTGCAGCTTAGCATGAGCCCAGTCTCCTCAGCGGTGTCCCAAAAACAGTTTGTCTTCATGTTACTGCTGCTCTGCCTCGCAGTGCTGAGGAATGAGAACGTTGTTGCATGTGTGAAGTCACAGTGATTTCAGAAATGTGCATCTTTTACATTACAGGTAAGTGCTTTAAGCTCTTACCTGTAAAAGTCGACTTAGTTGCTTCAGTGCTTCACAGTTTAGCAGCTTTTGAAAGCTTCAGGTTCAGTTTCAGCTGTCGTTGTGTAAAAGCTCCCAGCTTCTTGAACTGTGTTCGTCAACAGTGCGCCCTCGTTTTTTCTAAAACTTCACCCAGTTTCACTTAAATCTCTTCAAATGCTTTTATCTTGTTCACTTTAAATGCTTTCCGCGTCAGTCCTGTGCTTGATGATACTTCAGCTTTTAGCTGACTTTTTCTATCCGACACCTGAGGAGGAGTCAGTCCTCTGATGCTGTAAACTCACTTAAGTGCTTCAGTTTAGATCTTTTAAAATTCAGGTGAACTGAAATCTCTCCAATGAACAACTCTGTTGCTTTTTCTCTTTCACTTTAATGGCTTTCACTGCTTTGACAGTTGTTTCCACGGTTCAACAATCAAGTGACACTTTTCATATTCAGGTAAAAGTTTGTCTCCTTGCAGCTGCTGACTCAGCTGTTTTCAGTGATCGTACACAAACTGCTTCTCTGACTCTACTTCCTGCGAGGCTTAACTTGAAAGTTTTCATACTTCCCCTCATCTACTTTTTGCTTCCACCTGAGATCCAATCAGTGCTTCAAACCTAATGTGAGTGCGTCCGGCTTACAGTTGCAGTGAATTTACACTTAGCTCCACGTCTCATACCAGAAACAGATGATATCACAGTTAGAGATGAACTATTTCCAGTAGCTAAAGCCATGAATGTCAAAGCACATTTTTCTCTTTTCATTGGTGAACTTATCTATAAATGATGAGAAACAGTTTCTGTATCTGACAGATAATCTTACTCCATGCTAACATTTCAGGAAATAAATCGATGCTGGCTGACATTACAGTTAATTGTTCATGTTACTTCAGCTAAGCATCAGAGTGGGACAGAAAGGTGGTCAGTCAGGCACAGGTGCCCACATATGAGCAGAACGACTGTAGGCCACAGAAAAAGGTCTTTTCTTTGTGCAAACAGAGCTCACTCAGAG